CGTGATTTGTCAATTGTTGCTAACCAAAACCATGGTTAATAGAGAATTCTGTTTTCCATATTCAAAACCAAGGTAAAAAGTAATTTCTTTTCGGTTGCGCGCTCATTGAGTCCAACTTGAAATTACTTTGCCGCCCAAAACCAAGTCCGTTCGCGCATTTCATACTTTTTGAAGCGTGTTTCGGCAAATTTGTCTTTGTTCATCTCGAGTAAATCTCGGTCGCTGGACAGAAACAAGTATTACAATGCGTTCGCATTGGCGCTGAACCTTTCCGAAGGTGAAGCGATAAACCAGCACCCAACGCTTTCTGATCAGGGGTTTCCACACCTCATTGTGCGCGCCTTTGCTTAGAAATTCGGCAATAGGCGCACACGATCAGAAAGCGCAAACCCAACTGCAACACCAAGTGATCACCAAGCTTGCCGCGCATTCGAAGTCAACTTCGCTCAAGCCCGCCTGCCCTGCCCGCTTGCTGCATAGACGTCGACGATGGTTTCAACCCGCCGCCGTCCAATTGCAGCTTCAAGAATGACTCAAGGCCAGCATTGTGCTACGTTGAGCGACGCCTTGTGCTGTTGAGGCTGGTTGATCAACACAGCACCAACGTGCGTTTTCTTACAAGCACGAACTCCGTGTGTAGTGGGAATTCGTTTCGTCTCTCTTTATGCCAAAACAACGCAAGCCATTTCTTTCCGGCATGAACTCCGTGCTTGTAAGGAATTTGGCGGCGCAAAGCTAGCTTTGCGTACAATTTTTCTTTGCGTTTGCCCAAAACCGAATCGAATTCAAAAGCAAGTTCGCTTGCCGCTTCTCCTTGAAGCGTAATTTGATTCGATTCAGCAAATAGGTAGCAGCAAGTCTGCAGAACCGACTTGCTTGCTTTGAACCAATTCAACATCGGCGCCCGAGTTGAGCAATCACTCGCGTGCGTCAATGCATACCCAAAACCGAGCTGCCGCTGACGTTGGATGAGTACAGCGTCGGCGCCTCACCCCTTCTGCTCCCGCACAAGCTTCTTGGTCAGGCTGTCCTCAGCAACATCATCGTGCCGCATAAAGATGGTCAATTCCTTTGCGCAGCCGTGATGGACGAGTGGCAGCAGGAGCAGAGGTCAGTCATTTGAACTCCTGTGGAGTCGGAAGCCTCCGCCTTGCATACGCAAGTTCCTTGGCCTTCGACTTATGGCTCCGCAGTGTTCATTTGATAAACCAAAACCAAGTCACCTGGTGACTTTTCTCGCCCTATGTTCTGCATAGAGCGCAGAACTTTGTAGCTGCTCCTTGTTTCGTCGGTGTGAGGGATGCATCGCATCACAACATCTCCGATGCATGTCTCTCTCCCCCCTCGGTGGGAGAGAGCTGGGCAGCTGCAATCGATCCCGACCCAGAACCAAGTCACGTCGTGACTTTTCCGCTCTATGTTATGCATAGAGCGCAATACCGTACGGCTGCCTTGCCTCTTGTTTCGTTGGTGTGAAGGATGCATTGCATCGTAGCATCTCCGAGGCGTCTCTCTCTGCCCCCTGGGTGAGAGAGAGCTGGGCGGCTGATACAACCGACCAATACCAATCGGCTGCCTTGCCTGTTGTTTCGTTGGTGTGAAGGATGCATTGCATCATAGCATCTCCGAGGCGTCTCTCTCTGTCCCCTCGTCGAGGGAGAGAGACTGGGCGGCTGCTGCAACCAATACCTACCAGAACCGGATGTCTGTTGTACCAGTGCTGCCGCGGTGACCATAGTTGCGCCGCGTAGTCGCCGACTGACATCCACAAGCCAGTCCCCTTGCATGCGCGCCTAACTTAGCAGCATGCCTGCAACAGTTGGCGTGTGGTAACGGGCTGGTAACCAGCACAACCTCTCGATGCTTTGCCACGCGCGATGACACAACGAGCAAGCTTACAGCATTGAAGTGACCCAATGTGTCTTCCTTCCTGCGCTGCCTCTACATCACGACCACAGCCATCAACGCTGAAGCTGCGTGCTCATCCTGCCGGTGAGAGCTTGCATGGATTTACGCGCCGGTTAGCGGAGATGGTTCTATGGCGAGTTGGCCGGGACGCAGTGAGGAATATAAGAGGTACGTGATGCTTCCTTTGGCGGGCACAGCTACGGTTGTTTGTCCGTCAATGATTGAGCATTCGTGTCCTTTAACCAGTACCGAAATGCGCCCTTTGGGCCATTCAAGACCAATACGTTCACGCTTGCGCAGCAAGCATCGATAGCAGCAAGTCTGCGCGTCGAGAACATCTTTTAACCAATTCCTTGGCGTAACCGGCTGAGCACAAGCATAGCTTGTAAGCAGTCAACGCCCTCGTGAACCAATACCAACCAGGCCGGGCAAGTCTCAGCACCCGCGACTGGTTCGTAGCCGGAGACCCCTCTCGTCAGCCATTCAGAGCAAGTCCTCTGAACGTGTTGAAGATGATGCCCGGCGATATGTCTTGTACCAATACCTTCTGCTTCTTAGAAGCAACTTAATTCAACACCTCAAACGTGATGATCCGTGAGCAACGCTCGTTAGCGGGGAATGTTTGAAAATTTTTTTCAATTCCATTATGGCCAGGCTCGAGCAAGCCTTTAGACTGGCCATCAAAGGGTGGAAGCATGCTTCTCCCTCTTCACCAAGGGCTTGTGAGAAGGGTCTAGTCCCCTTGCAGTCCGCGGTGCTACCCAAGACCTGGCTCCGTATAGCCAGTATGGTCCACAAGCCGCTGCCCAAGTCAAGTCCGCGATGTGGCTGCACTCAAACGACAAGTTCAACGACATACCTGTGCCCGGATCAAGTCAATCAAGACAGCTCCGTCGTGCTCAAGGGCCACTACACCTATCTGTCAAGTGCACCACACTACGCCACCTATCCAAGTTCAAGCAGCAAGCAGTAACCATACGAAGTACGTGTCCCCAGTTGGCCCGGCAGAGGTACGGGCCTCTTAGCGCCGGCCAACTTCCCGTTTCCCCTTTTATAATCTGTATCCAGTCCCCTGAGGCCCCTCCCCTAGTTACTAATACTTTGGTCCAGCCCGCTCCCACTTTTATCATTTTTATATGAACCATTTTTATTCTGTGTTGCTCTACCTCCACTCTCTATATCATTTGCGGTCTGTACCTACCTACCTGTGTTCACAACGCAAAACCAAACCAACACCATGCTGTCGGCGCCTGTTGCCGAGGCCCCCAGGGCTTCTACGAAGTTCCCACCAAGACCGCTCCCATCCAACACCTTTCCGCGCCCGACCGGCACCAAGTCCCGAGGGTTCGACTCATACCTCGACTTGGAGGAGCACACCCAATATGGTCACATCGGCAGCCAGGCCGGAGGATAACCAAACCTCCCCTGGTGGGGCATCGCCCTCGTTGTCCTTGTGGGCCGGGAGTGTCGAAAGTATCATCGCGAATTCCCTAATTCGGATGATTCATTTCGAGGGATTTGAATGGGGGCATCCCCGGCGGTGGGGTCCCGCCACGCTCGCCCTGTGCGCGGCCTTTCCTACAGAAGGGCGGCGCCTGGGGGAGCGATCCAATTCCCTCTCGGCGGGTTCTCTCTTTTTGGGAGAATCCTCCTCGGGGATATTGTCCTCCTGGCCGTTCCCTCTTCCATGTGAAGAGGAATTGCCTTGAGGAGCTTCAGCCTTTGAACCAGAACCGTGTTCACCGGCCCCGAAAGGGGCAGGTGTACATTCCGCATCTCTCTTTATTCTTCCATTGCTCTCGGTGTATTAATGGTTCTAATAAACTATCTTTACTATTCTCTCCAATAATCACATATCAGCCATATGCAGTAAACCGTCAATCTAAATCCACTGAACACAACCGATGCCTCTTTATGGGGTCATACTCTCATTAGGGTGACAGTGGCAACCTTCCTCATATAGTTGATCATATCCTATATGGGGAATGGAGTGTCTCCCTTTTGATATTATTGAGCTGAAATTTCAACCCGTAGTATTTTTTGAAGCTCTATCGAATGATGTAGCCAAAATCCAGACAAAATAGCGGAATGTCGAAAATTTTTGGGAAGTGCCGGCTGGGGGGGGGGGGGTAAAAAGTATCCCTGCCCAAAAATTGTCACACCGATCGAAAGGTCAAAGAAAGGGGCGTGGTGGCTATCGATTCGGTGATCCTGATTCAGGCCTTGACGGCTAATTTTCGACAATTAAAATTTTTCTCCTTCTACATATTTTCCGTCTCTATAGAGCAGCCCTTTCAGGAAGAATTCCGCGCAAAGTGGTGGTTTTCCGGGCTTTTGCTCGTCTTCAAAAGTATCCAAACCAAATTCAAAATTCCCGCTCGAACTGAAGTTTCGAATGCCTTTACCGTTTCTCGAAAGCGATCGGGTGAATTGAGATGCATGAGATAATCATGATTAGGCGGTGTTACGGAAATGTAATGTGGCAAGGCGATAAAGTAATGCATGCCGGAAAAAATTTCAAATCTGGATATCCGCGGAAATTACACGCGCCAAATGTTTTTTGGCAGCATCATTGATTGCGGGGGCGCCGTATCTGCCCTGCGGCATCTTAAAAAAAATGGTGCCATGGCGTAGCCTTTCCGAATCAAAAAGTCACTGGAGAAAAACGCGAGGGTATTTTTTCATAGGTGCGCAAAAGATTTGAGAGACACGCCCTTCTTTTAACCAAATTTAGATGGCGCTAAATTCAAATTAGCAAGTGCATGCCATCAAATGTGTTTCTGATCGCCAATCAATGTTGATGTGTGCGCGAGTCTGGATGCCTTTGGTGTGCTTGATCGATCACCTGTTGTCAAATAAACGCTATAAGTTTATACGAATCAGCTTTGGCATAAAAACGATGAGAAAGATATTTAGGGGAGAAAATTCCATCGGTGAAAGACATTACGACACGTAATCAGGGGTGATTTGAACTGGGCAGGATTACGGTCACTGGGTCACGTAATAGACAGGCAGGGAAAAGACAAATTTAACACAGTTTGTTGCAGAAAAATTTTTAAAGTATGCATAAAAACTTGATTTGTCCAATCTCAGTTCGGGCTGATGCGCAACGCCTCCCTGAACTTCTGAGAGTACGGAGACGGGAGATAGTATGAGGAAGTTCGCATTGACAACTCATAATCGGAAGTTTGGAGGGCCATCATATCTCCATTTCTCCGCTGAATGCGATAAAATGGCTGATGCATTCCCTCAACGTCAATTCTCTCGTACCTTTCGAGTAGCGGCTTTAATTCCGCCGCCCAATGCCATCCTTTACCAATCATGACAATAACAATGGCCTTAATCTCGCGCTTCTCCTGTAACCATTGATCGATCAGCAGTTTTATGTATTCTTCAACTTGAGATATGGTGCTGTCGATGGGTTCCACCCGCATGTCCGGTACGCACAGGTCCAAATACCGTAGCAAGGGGGTTTGGAGATCAATGTCCAGAGGATCGCACCACGTCCAAAGAGTAATGCGATCGATGGATGCATTCATCCATTCAATTAATTCACGATTGGGTATGAACGACACGGATACCGAGTATTTTCCCATCGGTTTATCTCGTTTCAAAATTGACAGCAAATCCTGTGGGCAAAAATATTCGATCCACAAATGTTCACAACAAATATTGATCTCATCGAGGATAGGCCCCGATAGTGTCAGGCCTGTGACGGTAGCATGATCGAAAAGCAGCTTGTAGGTGGCGGGCCTGTTATTCCATAACCAGAAAGTTTCCTGTTTTCTGGATAGATCAGCGAGCCGCCACCCTTGCGATGTTTTTTGGAAGTATTCCGGCCAATATTTGCCTCGGCATTTCTTGGCCACCTCCAGCACTTTCCGGCTCGTCATGGCTGTCATGTAGAAGCTCTCCATTTCCATCCGACGCATCACGTTGTGCTGCACTTCGATCGGCAACGCGCAAAAGTCCATTGTCTGAAAAGACTTAATAGTTTAGATAAAAGGCGCACATCAGATAATAATGCCTAGGTGATAGCGCAAGAATAAGGAAGTGCCTGAATGGGGCAGGGGGAAGGAAGTGAGAGAAATTAAAAAGTGCATAAACAATGATCTGCGGCTCAAAGCTGATCCCGATAATTGGCAACAGTTTACAGGGTGTCCCGCCCGGACAAAACGTTTTGCAGGCAGGAGTTTTTACGGCAAACCAAGGTTGGGGCATATGATATGATTCGTACCAGCAATTAACACATTGGTCTTGGTTTTGACTAAAAAAACGCATCAGTTGGGTCGAAAAATTTTCCGAAGAGCTTCGGTCAGCAAAACGTTCTTTTCCCGTTTCACTTTTTTTTAATTAGACCAGGTTCTTGCTTGAGCGATCGAATCAGGTTAGCTAGTAACTGACGAAACATACTACGAACATTTTAATCCAGGATAGGTCAATAAAAAACAGTGACAAGTTTGATTTTGGCCTGTTTGAGCCCCCGTGAGGGATTGTCGAGCGAACGGTTTGCAAGGGGGCAGAAACCTACTTAGCTTTCTTGGCGTTCTTACAAAAGCCTAGGCCTCCTCCTCCAAGTTTTTTCAGCGGCACTATTTTGACAACTATTCAAAAAGTAGGAAAAACTTTCCTACGTGCCAAGGAATTGAAAAAAAACGCAGAGAAAAACCCCTCTAAAAAGTGTGACTGGGACACCCAGTATTTTTTATATTACGTTATTTTGTGCTGAAATTAAAAATATCACTATATTTTTTGGTGCTATATCGAATAGCGTAGCCGCCTTCCCCAAGAAATAGCGGAAATGTCGGAAACTTTTGGGAACCTCCGGTTGGTGGGGGCGGGGGGTAAAAAGAAGTCTGGGCCAATAATTACCACACCAATCGGAAGGTCAAAGAAAGGGACGTGGTGGTTATCTATTTGGTCATCAAAAGTATCAACTCCAATTCAAAATTACGATTGCCCCCCATTAGTCATAAATCCATTAGTCATAAATTCCAACAGTCATAAGCCCATTAGTCATAAATTCCATTAGTCATCAATTCAATAGTCATAAATTCCAATAGTCATAAATGCTATGAAACTGATTGCTTGGAAATATTATTCTCTGACATAATCCCGTTAACAAATCCAAAATTCATAGGTTTAGTGATATCCGATCACGTGCAACCAAGAAGTTTGATTCGAGAACACGACAAGGACCACCACATACACCTCAAAACTTCAAACCTCAAACCTCGAAACTCAAAACTCAACACTCAAACCTCAAAATCTACGATTATTTATGACTCGTGAATTTATGACTAATGGAATTCGGGGTTAGCGGGCGTAGCCCGCTAACCCCTTTTGGTTTGAGGTACCCCCGCATACGATTCTTTTGGGGTCCTTTTCCGGATTTAAAAAAGAACCAAGCATCGGATCGCAAAACTGAATACACCATCAGAACCGGCGACACTTTTTACATACTATAAGCTTTTAAAAATTGAAAAAGAGTGAAATTTCGAATTTTAACAGCCGATTTAAATTGCGTTTCGAGGGGGGGGTCTGCGTTTGTTTGTATGTATGTATGTATGCCACAAAACCTTTGTAGTCGTCAAAAAGTGCCTTCCCATCATCCGTTTGAGCTGAAATTTTTTACAGTTATTGGGTCAATGATAATCTCGGACCGCAAGAAGAGTTTTTTTCAAAATAGGCTTTAAAAAAATTTATATTTAATTTTTAAGTTTAAAAGCTAAATCGCGGTCAAAACAATGGTTAGTGATGTCCGTTTGGGCTGAAATTTTGCTCAAATATGCATTAGACCATGCCGGAATAAGTAAAGCAGAAATTGCATCGAAAGAATGCTTCTTCTCTGAGATATTATAACTTTAAACCTTCGCCATACGGGGCGCCACCCTCCCCTTTGGCGGCCCCGGTCCCGAGTCAGGGCGGGCGGGTCTAGCTTCCCCAAGACGGGCCTCCAGTCTCCCCGTTGGCCTAGTGGTTAGCACGCTGGACTGGGGAGACTGGGCTCGCGGGTTCGAACCCCACCCAAAACATCGTTTTTGCCGATTCGCCCCCGTGCATCCTTATGGTTCTAGTGCCGTCACAAAGCGCCGCAGGCAAATTTTTTTGAAGTTTTGCGTACAAGGGTCCATCAGAATGAGTATTCCTTGGCTTATTTTACGATCTTAACAATAAGATTGAGGCAAAAATGGCTAAATTCTCTCTAAGGCTAAAAAGAGTCTTTTTAAAAAAGGGCTTTTGGTTTTCGCAAAAAGAGACGAATTCTCGTGGCAACAAAAAGTGCTAAATTCCTTTCAAGCTCTGAAAAATTCCACAAAATGTGGGATCAACCAAAAGTTGCTGGCACCTTATTAAAAGGGATTTATCTAGTTTTTAGCCGTTTCGGCTTGTAAATAATTCGGTATTATGAACTATTTAGGTTTTCTTCAATTAATCTGTAGACCTGACCTGTAATCTAGAAGAGTCCCAAGTTTGTTAAGATTTGAAATAGCCAGCAACTTTTTTGTTGTTCCCCATTTTGTGGAATTTTTCAGAGCTTGAAAGGAATTTAGCACTTTTTGTTGCCACGAGAATTCGTCTCTTTTTGCGAAAACCAAAAGCCCTTTTTTAAAAAGACTCTTTTTAGCCTTAGAGATTTATTTCTTCTTTACAGCTACGACATGCTCTGCGTCACAATCCCAAAAACCTCCCCAATGGCGTTGACGGTCGAGACACGCTTCTGCGATAATTCTCAGAGCAATCAATTTGAACTCGATTACGAGACATACAACATGACGGGATGCGAATCAAGGTCCAACAATTCTAATTTTATTTTAGCTCCAAAAACTGTCAAAAAACCTCCTCAAAAATTGAAAAATTTGATGTGATTCTGTGCATCTAAAAAGTTTAATAAATACTAGCGTTTAGTCTCTCTATCGGTGATGATCAATTGTATTGCTGTCGAATCGTGACGAAGCTCTCGCCATATCAAATTTTAACTTTTCGAAACCTGGGGAGTTATCAGGGGAGACCAAGCCTGTTCTTTCGAATTTTGGAATCGGCACCGGGTATCTTTTTCGTCCTTATTTTTTCGCTTTTTTAGAAAACTAAACACCTACAAAATAATACCATGTACAAAAAAGAATAGTGTCTCCGTTTTAGCCAACACCTCTATCATCACTTTTGCTTTTAACCGGCTAACAGAGATGGAAAAGCTCACGATACCAGCAAATCCGGAAAATGACACCTTACTATTTTTCGGCCATCGCACCGACCTGCCTTATATGGTGTGCACACAACTGATTGTTTACGGGGTAGCTTGCGGTCTATGACTACTCGCAAAATTATGCACAAATTTAGCGCCGAAATCATATGCCATGTGAATACGAGCTACACGCCGGAGCGATGGGAAAGCACTTGGCGACATTTAGGTCGGTTTTAAATGGATTTAAAAGTGTATGATTTAGCCATGTGGCGTTTCAAATTATGGCTAAGATTACGAATTTAGCGATTACGAAGCGATCTTCCCGCAAATCCTCACCTCGGAAACGTATTCGCTGAAAATCCCGCGTTACTGTTCGCCGAAGATAGCCTTGGATGTTGGAGGTGACTGAAAATTACGAAAAGTTCTGGTTTTCAAAGGCTTACTGTCGCTATTTTTTTCTCTCGCTCTCTCTCGCTCTCACTCTCCCTATCTCTCGATCACTCTCTCTATCTCTTTCCATCTCTCGCTCAACCTCCCTCTCTTCCTTTGCCACTCTCTACACTTTCTAGCTTCTCTCTCACGCTATAGCGTTTTTCTCTCTCCCTCTCTCTCTCTCGCCCTCTCTCTATCGCTCTCTAGCTGCCTCTCGTCCTAAAAACATGAATTTTAGACGCCATGGACATTAGCCCTGGAATGCGTATGCCCGGGTACGGTACCGCGATCGTCACCTCCCAAGGCTACGGTGATCCGATGCATATCGCATATAACGGCTGGATGGGTACGAAGTGCGCTTGGGTTAATGGTACGTCTCAAATCTTGCATCCGAAAGAGTTGGTCGTTCCAGTACAGAACGAGACCTATGACGTGGCGATCGAGGTGGTCGAGGTGTTGACCGGGGAGCTGACGATCAACTTTTGCGATGCGACAGATAAAAACAAGTGGGCTTTTTAATACATCCATTCATTAATTAGTGCTTGTTAGCTAAAGTTATAGACGTAAAATGTTTAGTCGTTCCAAACGCTACATTTATTAAAAAAATAAATAACTTTGATTTAGGCTTTTCTTCAACACATCGTACCTCAGAAATGCCACGTCTTGGAATTTTCAAAGCCCGAAATGCATAAATGTAAGTAATTCTACCACCACAAAAATAAAAAAACTGCTTTAACGACCAACAACACCTTTAAAATGTCATTTTCAGATATCTTGGAGTAGTATGGGCACTGTTGCTCTTGGAGAGCCCACCGGATTTCAAGCCCGTTTTGAATTTCGACATCATCGATGGGTGACGACACCAAAAACGCTCACGACATCTCCATCGCCAAACGCTTATTTGCCCTGTCTATTAATATTTTTGTTGACGAGGTTGTTAAGGTAGTATCCAACCGGAAATTTCGATATGGTTGTTGCGTTATACGGGTGTTTTAATTCTTTTTGTGAATAAAAATTGTATAACATAGGTTTGTAAGCACGTTTTTGGTTCTTTGGTAATATTGGGGAACGAAACATTTTTCTAGAAATCCAATTGTCTAATATGAATAAAGTAAGTGTCCCTAACTGTTTCTTTCATGTGCCTAAACGTTATACTGTAGAAATTTTGATTGATAATCACAAAAGACACCGGGTTTTCGACAAGACAGGCCGGTTTTTCATCAAAATCAAATATGTTCAAATATGTTCTAGTATAAGTGGTTTATCGTTTTTCCACTGAAAACTTTACTAAGAATATTATTAAGCATTTACTATTACATTACTCTCATTTTCTGGACTTTCAGGAAAAATTTGGTCGCCCAGCACGGGTAAGAAATATCGATTTCGAGGGTTGATCTGCACTTCACTTTTTGAAACACACTCCTGACCGCGATTACAAACGTCACCCAGCTGATATCAGCTGAGAGGAAAATCGGAGCTTTTCTCGTGTTTCACTGGCCCCTACAGTCTTTTTGAACTGATTTTTGTAAGCAAGGGGGAAAATCGGTTGTAATGCCCGGTTTATGAATGGGCAACATCTTATCGTAAGCCCCCCCGTTCGCAAGCCGCGTGGTTTTGCTGCGTGACTTGACCAGGGTTAAGGTTGTGTCACTTGGGTTTGGAGTGAATAATTGGAGTAAATACTATACACCCTGATTTAATAATGTGTATAATCGTCCTATTTTACTGCTTCTACTCCACTTTCGCATTGAATATCGAGCTCGACCGCGCGAATCCATCGTATGCCCTTCATGGGATTGCCCTGAACAGAGCGAAGGTATATTTGAGCTGCTCCTGAAAAAAATCAGCGAAAGACGGCACAATTTGCCTTCAGGAGCTCCAAATCACCACCACCACCACCGGGAAACGCCTGCAAATCAGTTACTCGAAAACCGACTGCAAGTTGGAACGTCTCGCAGCGAAAGATGAGGATGACGATCCGGCAGTGACATGCCGTGACCCGATTCCCTTCAAAGTCGATGGACAGGAAATGGACCCAATAGATGGCTGCCGGTCCATATGGTTGGTTTACGCCCGTGGCGGATTGGCCTGAGTTTATAGGCGTATCGATGAAGACAAATTCACGGAATTTGTGTATGGATGCGAATGGATCGTGACCAAAGCGACGATCTCTATTACGTATCTGCCTTCGGTATCTGCTGACAATGTGTTCGCACTTTCTGTTAGAGTGTTGGAATGGTCGCGTAAGTTGACATGGGAAATAGTTTTTACTGAATCTCCCACTCTCTCCCTCTCTGTCTGTCCGCCGCTCTCTCACTCTCTTTCTTTCTCTCTCTCTCTCTCTCTCTCTCTCTCTCTCTCTCTCTCTGTCTCCCTCTCTCGCTCTCACTGTCTCTCTCGCTCACTCTCGCTTTCTATTTCTCCCTCTCGCCCTCTCACTCGCTCTCTCTGTCTCTCGCTGTCCCTCACTCGCTCTCTATGTCTCTCGCTGTCTCTCTCATCTCACCCGCCCTGTCTGCCGCTACTTCCCCCCTCTCTCTCGCTCTCTCTGTCTTTTCCAACTCCCCCCTCTCTCGCCTCTCTGTCGCTTTCTGTCTCCTTCTCTCTCTGTCTCTCTCGCACTGTCTCTATCGCACTCTCTCTATGTCTCTCTCTCGCTCCCTCTGTCTCTCTTTCCAACTCCGCCTCTCTATCACTCTCTCTCTCTGTCGCTCTCTCTGTCTCTCTCGCAGTCTCTCGCTCTCGCTCTCAATCTCTTTATCACCCTCGATGTAAGGACTGATTTGCCTAATGATAGGATTTTTAGGCCAACTACCGCTGCACCTTCTCCCGGTCGACCCACTCAGCTACTCTTCTTTCCCGACGCTCACCCCCAACCTGCTCTTGTCCATTGTTAATGCGCCCAGTGATGGGTACCCTTACCTGACGCTCGATGTGCGGCCACAAAACCCTTCAGCGATCAATTTCGCGTTCTCGATTTATGCTGGCTCGGATACGGACAACGAGGAAAATCTGTTGATCAAGTTCCGGTACGTCGAGCACCCCTCGCACCAGCGCAGTTTAGCGGAATTCACGGGCTAAATCTCTATACTTCGGTGGTGACGTGTTTTCTCGAATCCGATGACCCGTCCGTACAGCTCCAGATTGGGGTGAATAACGTTGAAGGTAGCGTAACGTCTGGAATGTGAAACTAAGACCTGATCTGCAGACGAAAAGCGTATCTTGCTTTCAAGTCCGTTGTACCCATGGAAATTCGACGATTCTGCGGAAATTGAAGAATGCTTTGTGGATGTGATTGACCGTACGTCGGAATTGGATTGGTTCTCTCTCTCTTCCTCTCTCTCTCTCTCTCTCTCTCTCTGTTTCCCTCTGTCTCTGGCTCTCTCCTTACACTCTCACACTCTCACGCTCTCTTGCACTCACCAGAAGTTTCAGTTTTTGGCACGGCCCGCAAATTCCGCATCACACCGTTCCGACTTGAAGGCGGTACCCTCGAATTCATTGACGAATCCGATACAACACTCGGAAAGTAAAGCAATATACCACCATCCATAAGCCCTATTTCAGCTTCACTGACCAAGATGTCGGCAAGAGCATCGAGTTTGTGTCCGAGGAGTTCAGGGTTTGACGTTTTCAAGGTGTGGTAAGCAACTTATCAGGTCCGTTTTTGTCCGCTAACAAATGCCACAGGAAGGCGTGGATTCCTGGCGACAAGCTCGAGCAGTCCAGGTACATTTCCGTAAAAGCCGTTACGGCTTAGACGGTTTAGAGATTATCAACTGCAGCATAACCTACGAGTTGAGTGCCGGAAAACCCGCGATGATGGTGCCAGTTGGTCGACTGTTGCTTCGGACTGATCAGTGGGTGGCGTTCAGACCTTGCTGGGTCCCGTTTTAACACCGGACAATAAGCGTGGCCTCTTTTTCAGCTCCATGTCGTTCTGTGCTTCAATCTCGGAGAGCAACTTGGCCAAGACGATCGAAACCATCTTCTGCGACTCCCAGCTGACGGAAATTTTTGAATTTGATGGGGTTGAGCACAACATGACTGAGTGCGAGCAGAGGTTTGCGCTTAAAAAAATGGACCGCGAAGCTATCGCAGTTCTGGACTGTTAGCGGGGGGGGGGGGTTTCAGCGGGAAACGACATTTTTCTACGGCCCCGTAACAAAATATAAACCGTTTTAATTCAATTTTACATAATTTTTAGATAGTTTTTATATATGAAAATGAGAAAACCTTTTGAAATTTTAATTATTAAATTATTATTATTAAAAATAAATGAAATATGAATGAAATAAAATATTTTCGAATTTTTAGATGTTTAAAACGTGTTTCATAACTTACTAGCAATCAAAAACTACCCAAAACACCATAAAAATACAGAATATATCAACAATAGGTGGGGAAAAAATGGGTTTTTCCCTGTTAACCTCCCGCGCCGCCCCCGCCCCCGATAATGCCAAAGAACCGGTTTGACTAAAAAAATTTGCAAACTTTTTAATTTTTCCATGAAGCTACATGACGGAGGAGGGTCCATTATACTGCTGCAATTTCAAAAGCGAACTCCCCGCCTCCGAGGTGGTCCGCTTCCAGCCAAATGGCGAAAATTGGATTCGACCCTCGTTGTTTTTTCGGATCATCGACGAAAGCACAGGTAGAGACAAGGAGCAGTAATTCAAACTCTTCCAGACATGCCAAACATCATCACGATCAGCTTCACAAAAGTTTTCAAAACGATCTTCGAGCGATTTGCGGTGCCAAATACTGGTGAAAATGGGACCGTCGTCTACATCTCGCATGCAATGTTTTGGGCAGATATGGGTTCACCCGATCTCGTCATATCTGCGGTTGGTAATAGCTCTAAAGAATCTGATAGCACACTCGAAACTACAATTCTTTAATCGACAGAAGCCTGACTGTAAAGTGTTTTTACTCAAGTTGGAGTTTCGTTTCAAAACCAAGTGCATCTTGTGTAGAATTTTTTGTGCTGATTCCGAATCCGCTTGCAAATTTGAAATCTCTGCAATATCTAAAATTCAGATTCTGACCCACCATCGCCTGTTTGATCCTATGGTTTTACTGCCAGGGTCCCTGAAGTACGCTCTCCCGACTCGCTGACCAGTTGTTTCGGCGTTAAAGGCATCTGGAACGATGGTTTGCGCGAAAAAGCAAAAGAGCGAACCGGGCGGGATCGAACCCGCACCGTGAGAATGACAGCCCAGCGCGCTATCCACCATACCACGCTCACCAACTAGGAGGTGCGACGGATAGGGATGACTTGCCCGAGCACCCCCCATTCCCCACGCGGCGCTCCTATGTACGCCGCCACGGTGTCCGCGCTCTGCAATCAGCCGCAACCCCAGCGGCTGAGAACCCCAGCGTCCCAGAGGCCTTTAAGATGCTTGTCTAGTAAATGTCTAGCCGATTCTGACGTTGAAGTTGTTTAAGAAAATCGAAAACCACAATTTATTCAATCACGATGGAAAATAAACCCGTTGGTCGCCGGATCGCCATCATGATCGGTGAGCTCTACCCTCTCTGGCATCGAAATTCGGGCCACGGAGGGGTGGCCTTCTCGCAGCGAGACGATCAGCACTTCGCCGTCACTTCGCCGGATACGGTAGTAGTTAATGGCCCATTTAGCCGCAAAATGGTTCGGATATTGCCGAAAAAATTGTTCGTGTACACCGCCAGCCAGTCGAGTGTATGACTCGGCTTCGATTGTCTGGATTTTTCGCTGGCCTCTCAGCCATTCCTCGACCACGATGTGGGCGTAGGCATCTACTTCTCCGCCACCTTCCACAGAGAAACGCAGCCAAATATCGGGTATATTTAAGGGCACGTATTCTGATAA